CGTATGAAGCATCAGCCAGCTGGTGGAGTGGATTTGGGGAAAGAGGTCCCTCAAACCTTCCCAGTGTCCTTGAAATTACATCAAAAGGAGACTGTCATCTCTGACAAGCATTCGATCGGCCCTGTTTGCCCCCTGACCTAAGTCAGGCCACTTTCTTTTCCTTCTGTGATTCAGAACGCTTCTCTACAACCCATGCTGTCAGCTGCCTCAAACCTCACTGTCCTTGTGCCTTCCCAACAAGCTATCGAGGACATGGACCAAGAAGAGAAAGCCTTTTGGTTGTCCAAGAGCAACATTCCAGCCCTAATAAAGTAGGTATTGTGCATTTTATGCTTCACGATATCTTACTGGCATCAGGGTGAACAAACTTCAATGGAAGGAAGCCACATGGTCCTTCATGTTTAGGGCCTGAACGGGTTCTAGGGCTCCCCTCACTGACCCCCCCAGGACGGCAATACTTAACATTATTGACAGCCACCCCTCTGCTAACTGCTTTACGTAAAACTCAGCTAACCCTCATAAGGAACCTATGAGAGGGGCGTTATAGTTATTTCCATTTTACAGACATGAAAACTGAAGCATGAAGCAATTAAGTAACTAACCCAAGGTGCCATGGCCGATCGTTGCAGGGGGAGATTTTGAGTCTGGCAGTCTGGCTGCAGAACCTGTTTTGTTTTTTTAACTACTCAGTGATACGGCCTCATGCCTCGATATTTCACTAAAGTCCTTATGGACTGTTGTCTTAGGTACCACACGCTACTGGGCACGTACGGAGTGGCAGATCTGCGGACTCTGTCATCTTCTGATATGCTGGCAACCTCTTTGCAGGACAACTTCCTTCACCTGGTGAAGACAGATGGGGTAAGAGAGCACTGCAATGTGTCTGTTTAGTGGAAACATGTCACTTACATTCGTATCGTACTTTTTAAATTTTTGTGTTATGGAAATAACACATGAGCAAACACAGACCAAGAATAGAACCTCTAACCTCCATGTAGGCATCACCCAGCATCAACAGTCATCAGCATATATGGATACACGTATACACACACACACACACACACACACACACACACTTACTCTATAGCAGTGATGCTATAAAACGTGGCCCTCTGCCCACTGGTTAGCCACAAGGCTCTTCCTGACAGACCCCTGACAGGCTTATCCAAAAAGTCAAATATTGCAATTCTTCTGGGTGAGGGTTGTGCAAATTCA